TTATGTACGGATTGTAGTAAGATGGAACTTGCATGTGGGCCTGACCCACCTTTATTTTTCAGGTGTTCGTGAGTACCAGGCTTAGGGTTTGATCGTGGTGATGCAGATACAATCACTCACTCTTCCGACTACATATGATTTTCTTTCTTATTTTGGTTTTGGATTTTAATTCTGTAAATGTTTTACCAGTTGGAAATATTAGGGGTCCAGTAGATGGATTCCCGAGTTGTACGGATTGGAAAGTTTATTTATATTAAAACTTTTATTTTGGAGGTTTTACAATTAGAATTCTTTTCAGCGTATAATTATTTTATTCTTAATTCAGTTTTATTCCTGCTTGTTTATATATTGATTGTCTGGTATCCTTCGGATCTGTGCCCGGACTTGATCACCCGTGGTTCTAGAATCGAGGGGTATCACATCTCCTTAGCGAGAAGATTGCACAAGGGTTTAGCAATTTTACTAAAGTCTTTAATGAAACGGCAAAAGAAGCCGGCATGACCTAGAAAGGAGCGAACCTCTCTCACCGTAGAAGGTGGAGGTAATTCAGGAATGAGCTTAACTTTTGCTTTATCCACCTCAATTCCCCTTTTTGAGATGACATGACCAAAACAATACCTTCTTGAACCATGAAATGGCTCTTTTCCCAACTAAGAATGAGGTTTGTTTCACGACATCTTTTAAGTACCAAAGATGGATTTTTAAGGCACGTATCAAATGAAGACCCAAAGACGGAAAAATCATCCATAAAAACCTCTAGTTACTCTTCCACCATGTCCTATAAAATTGACATCATACACCTTTGAAATGTAGCAGGAGCATTGCACAAACCAAAAGGTATCCGTTGATAAGCAAATGTGCCAAAGGGACAAGTAAAGGTGATTTTCTCTTGGTCTAAAGGGTCAAGGGCTACTTGATTGTAACCCAAATATCCATCAAGAATAATGTTGTTACCTCGCCAATCTCTCTAGAATTTGATCAATAAAGGGCAAAGGGAAATGATCTTTTTTAGTGGAGGCATTTAATTTACGGTAATCAATGCATACATGCTATGAATTGGTGATACGCTTAGAAATTGCCTCACCTTTCGAATTTTCAACCACTGTAACCCTTGATTTCTTGGGAACTACTTGAGTTGGACTCACCCATTTGCTATAAGAGATTAGATAAATTATACCGGCATCTAAAAGCTTAACAACTTCCTTCTTAACCACCTCTTTCATGTTTAGATTCAATTTCTTTTGGGCATCCCTAAAAGGTTTTGCATCATCTTCTATAAGAATGCGGTGCATGTAAATAGAAGGGTCAATTCCCTTTAGATCCGCCACACTCCATCCAATAGCTTCCTTATTTTCTTTAAGCACATTTAAAAGATCATTCTTTTGGTCGTCTTCAAGGCTTGAAGAAATGATGACCGGAAGAGTCTCTTTTGGGCCCAAGAAAGCATACTTAAGATTAGAAGGAAGAGTTTTAAGATCAAGAGTGGGTGAAAAGACTAAAGATGGGACCAGTATATCACCATGTAATACAAATATGCAATGCATAAGAAACGAAAAATGCTAGAAAAGGATAAATAAACCCAGTTCTCTCAAACAACCCCTGTTATCTAAAAATATGGTCCAAGTATACCATACACTATAGTATTACTATTTAAATATTATGCATAAATATAATGTGTATATATATATAATTATTATTATAAAATAATAATCTATATATATAATATCTTATAAAATAAAATAAAACAAAATAAAAGAACCTGGAAATAAGTCGAGGCTAGAATTTGATTCTCTGTCCTTAAGACAGATTCGCCCCGCTATGATGCTAATGGACTCAGTGGCATCTAGCTCCCAAGATACAACAACTTTTACTTCTTTCGATAGTAGCACTACAAACCAAAGAAATAGGCGAACCGGCTCGGTGTAATACTCTCTAACTCAAACTTAGACTCGGAGTGATTGACTAAGGCTCAAACCCAAAGACAAGGGCTCGTACCCACAGACACTTGCAGAAGAAGAGAGAGGAAAAAAAGAATTCAGAATTAGAGAAAAGGATTCTAAATTGAAATACTTAGGAATGAACCCTATGGGGGGTTTATATAGGCCTCATGGTACCTTTAGGTTTTAATATTTTTTTGATGTGGGACAAACATTTCCCACATTTTGCAAACCCATTTATGCTTATCAAACACCTTACTTTGGAGCTAATTTCTCGTTCACCCAGAAACGGATTTGAGAAAGTAAATATATCACGTTCATCTCCTTGCGGAGAGGAACGCGCTCGTCTATAAATCCACAAATAATTCTTAGCGGAATCTATTCAAAATCTGATCCAAAGTTTATGTTTTTAATGCCTTATTTCCAACAAACCCAACCCCCCCCCCCCCCCCCCCTTTTCCTTTCTCTATCTTCCAGGTACCTCCTTGTAGGTACAAAATATCACCTTAACAAGATATTTTCTCCTCATGTCACTCTTTCTATTTATATCATTTCCATTTACCCTAGTTTCCTTACTCAGCTTCTACATTGTGGGCCTCATAGGCCTTGATTCCCTTCGAGTTCTACTTCTTATATAATCAATACAACGGAGCAAGGCCTCTCAATGGGCCTTATTTCCCTTTTGGGCCGGACGATGCCACTAAGCTCGTCTCCGGGCCTAGTTGGGACTGCTTTTATTGGGTTGAGACAGATCTACCACTCCCATTCTTAGAATTCCTTCCATTCAAGCAAGAAACTTAAAGGCTTCCATTTCAGAGAAACTAGTAAAAACTGTTAGTCGGTCGCCATGAAGTTTCTCGACACTCAGCTAGAGATTCCATCGTTGAAAGTCGAAGCTGAAGAGGGTGGACACAACACCAACTATATGGTTCTATGGTAGGTACTTTGAGCTGTTAATAAGTTCTAGTTTGAAATTGTCTCTTAATTTGTCATCATATTCGTCATGGGTTATATATTCATCATAGAATTATCTCTTATCATATATTGATTGTATTGTTACTATTACTCCAGGATTGCTTGATTTAGTGATTATTGTATGACAAATATACATGTATTAGAATTTAAGTTGATTATATTGTATTTATTTTAGTTTGTTTTTGGGTTATAAGTTGTGTTTCTCTTTTATGCTTTTCATTATCTGAAACATGATTGCATGAAATTCCTTCAAATATTAATATAAGTTTTTAATGTTAAACTCTATTTGGAAATGTTTATGTCTGTGTTTTTGTTTTATGGGTTTTGATAGGATTCTTTTAGTGTTTGGATTTCTTAGATGACTCATATACATTGGCAACCTATTTTTTTTTTTAATCTGATTAATTTTATTGCAATTTCCTCTATATATTGACTTACTGTACTCTATTTCATTTTTAGGTTGTAGTTAAGTTTATATTTCATGCATGAACAATAATTAGGGATTTCGTTCTATTTAGGGCTTGTGGGGCACAAGGAATCTTTTTATGGCGGTTATTCCTTCTAATGACTGGCATATCTATGATGCGGTTGGCGTTGACTTCCGACTTGGGCCTCGAATTGCAACTAAACCATTGTTTCTCATGGAAACTAGTAAGATTCTCACAAACGACACCAATTGTTGATGCAACATTCCGCTACAGCCAGGAACGATGTCGTACCTAAAAGAGAAAAGAAAAGAAGTCGGAGGGGTACCAATGTGGTACCGGCCAAAGAGTCTCCAATGATCAAGTTACCATTAGATTGGGAAATAAAAGGACTTTTTCTAGGGATTTGTGTCATACTTTTTGAGTTGCTCTAAACACCATCTTTATAAAGGCCGGTAGTAGGATTCAAGTAGGGGCTTCATTTCTTTTACTTCTCCAGCACGAATAGGAAAATTATTCATTCTCCAACAATTTTATTAATTGTAGTTTATTCGACTGCTAATCTTTCGTGCTGATCAAACTCCATGTGAGTTCAAAGTCCGATATCGGTATTGATTCGATTAGATGAACATCACCCTAAACCACTCGTGTGTTTAAGTGTGTGTTCTAAAATATATAATATTAGATTTCTCTGAAAACGTCTCTTAAAAAGCTCCAACAATGATACAAAAATAAATCTATGTTTTTCCCAATTGAAGCATATTAGGGTTGGAGTATTGAGAGGTTTACATAGACTAGAGAGTCCTCAAAATATATGAAAATATATTTAAAAAACTTCCATGGACTTCTCTAAGAGTTTTGGTGCAAACTAAAAAGTTTAAAAAAAAAAAAAAAAAAAAAAAAAGAAAGAAGGAAAGAAAGAAAGAGAAATCCCATAATACATATTAGCAAAGTGCAATCGGTTGGACTTTGATGGAATTGAAAAATTGGATTCCAAGCAAGTGCAACGACTTCTGTATCATTTGAGGTCAAACGACTTTTGTTTTGTTTTTTTTGCTACAGGTAATGTATTGTAACGAAGCGAAACACGGAAAGGCGTTTGGTATTTTTTGTTGCCATTTGAATAATACTGCATTTATTGTTGAAAAGTGGTCGAGATTGAAAATACTATTGGCATTTTCTAATATTTTCGAATGGTAACAAAATGGGGTGAATAATATTATAAAAAAAAAATTAAATAGCCTTTTAAACTAATTATTTTTATTTATTTTTGATCTTGCAACATTTTTTTTTTTTTTTGTCAAATATAATTTTTTATTTCTGCTTTTACATTACCAATTGCGGTTCAAATCACTACTGCATACATTTCCTAACGTTTAAAATGAAAAGCACAAAAGCAAAATGGAGATCGGTTAAGTTGGACAAATCCTTATATTTGTTGTGTACTTTGCGCACTTTCTGAAAGGCCATATAAAAAGGCTTAAAGCCATCCATCTCTGGCATCTGGGTTTGTTAAATTTGTTCCACTTAATCCACGGCTATCAACCCGAGCTCACGAGTGTTAAAATAGATTCATCAACATTGAACCAACACCCCCATATGGTGGGCGTGTTTTAACTATTCACGGTCACAAGTATCCGCATCTGCAACCATCACGGCAACGTCACGACAACAAAAAAAAAAAAAAAAAAAAAAAAAGATAAAACTTTCCCAGATCCACAAACCCACCCATGTCTCTCTCCGTTTTCACAACAATGGCGAGATCCAGTAGAATCTGATCCAATCTAATCTAGGGTTCCAAGAAATGGAGTCCGAACTCAAAGATCTGAAACCTAAATCGGCCCCTGAACCACCTAGGGCGGAGCCAATCGACGATCGCTCCACCAAGGACGATCGTCCCCTCCTGAAATCGGACTCGATCCCGAGCACGAGCCCGGCCTCCCAATCGCCACGCTCTTCCGACAACTTGGAAGAGCTCGAGAAGAAATACGCCGCGTATGTGCGCAGCGACGTGTACGGCACCATGGGACGCGGCGAACTGCCGTGGACGGAGAAGCTGCTGCTCGGAGCTGCGCTGGTGACGCTGGTTCCGATACGTGTGGTTTTGGCGCTGGTTATATTGGTTTTCTATTACTTGATTTGTAGGGTTTGCACCATGTTTTTGGCTCCGAATCGGGAGGAGGAACAGGAGGACTATGCGCATATGGGTGGGTGGAGGAGGGCCGTCATTGTTCAGTCCGGGAGGTTTCTTTCTAGGGTTATGCTTTTCGTTCTAGGGTTTTATTGGATTAAAGATACCTATCGAAAGCCCGATGACGCTGGCGAAAATTTGAATGCCGAGGTACTTTCTTTCTTTTGTGATTCAGCTAAATGAAGCGTAGAATGAGCTTTACCACTCACACATACATATGTATTGTGATAATTGATATGTATATACTTTTAGATGGATATGGATATAGATATAGACATATCTTGAGCTATATCAGAGTTTTGGTTGCTGGACAATGCCATTTCCGTGTAGAGTTGAGGATTAATAACCCTTTTCTAGGAGGCCCTTCTGTACGTGTATTCAAGAGTGGTCTACTATTATTAATTTGGCTCTGGGTTGTAGCATGAGAATATGCTAATTTATTGCTCTGGTTCACCCATTATAAGTTTCCACTCATGGCTAGCATGTATTTGGCCTCTCCGTGGCAACTGTGCTGCTAAAAGAACCTTATGTTGTAATTACTTTGGAGAAAAAATAAATAAATAAAATAACCTTATGTTGTGAAATCAGTAGAGAAACATTGATGGGAGATGGTTAGAGATGAGTGTAAACATCATTGAATAGTTAAAGAAAAGTTCTATTGGATATTTTATTGCCTGTATATTAGCTAGCTTATACTTCCAAAATTTTAAGAGTTAAAAAGACAAGCAAAGTAAGAGGTTCTATGGAAATCCAAGGAACCAGGCCTGCTGACGATATGGTTGACTGGTTCTATGTTAGTTTATGTTTGGTTAAAGAAGCGTAATTTTAGATTGGTTTAAGTTTGCATGAAAATAATGCAAAAACTTGGTTTTCCTATAAACCAGCATAATAAAATGAGATCTAGCCTAAACTACTTCTTTGAATTCCCAATTAGGCCCTAAACGTTTAAATTTGAAAAGCAGGTATTTAGGTAGGTAAATGACATACGAATTAAAAAATTGGCTAATATTCTAAAGGAATTTAAGATGACGGGGCTTAAAATTTCTGGATATGGTTTCTTCTAGTTGATTTTCTAGCTGTTTTCTTCTTCGTCCATCATTGTATATTGTGGCGCTTGTTTGTTGAATGTTCAAAATTTTATTACAATGTGATGTACCTATATGTCACCTTTCTCTTGCTTCAAATTCTCAAAAAATGCATATAGAGCTCTGAAATAGTTGCACTTTTGCTGGAAAGATGATGTAGAATTGATTGACGAAGCCTATATGGCCTGTTTGGACCACCACAAGTCCCAATGCTATTGCCGACACAATATGTTTTTGAGTGTTTCGACGAGCCAGTTTTGACCCGAAAAGACCCATTCTGGATCGAAAATGGATCAACGATCAATACTCTCTTTGCTTGTGATGTATGTTGTTTTTCGGCTGAATTCCAACATTTAAGGTCCCAAAATCGCGTTTTCTAGTCCTATAGGAAAGCTATTGAACGTTTTTGGAATTTTTATTACAGGTCTAAACGAATTTGGGTTATTTTGATTTTTGTTATTTAGTAGTTTTAGTGATAAGGTTTCGTATCCTATTTTTTATTTTATTTATAAAGAGTTGAATTTTGCTTTTTTTTTTTTTTTTTTTAACAACTTTTTCTTATTATTTTAAGTTTTAACTGACGGAATGGAAGCAATGAACGTTCACGAATGAACAATGAACAACTTTGAATCCAGAAAGTATAGACAAAGTGAACTCCAAAATATTATTAATCAATGTATTCCGCTCTGTGCAGTATATATATTAATAATAAAGAAAACATAACAACATAAGGAAAGCTAAAAATAAGCCTAAAATTCAACCATCTCTAAACATTATTAAAAAAAAAAAAAAGAAAAAAAGATAAGAAACCTAATCACTAAAAACTACTAAATATAAAATATCAGAATAATCCAAGTCCATTTAGACCTCTAACAAAAATCCCAAAATATTCTACAGTCTTCCTTAAAAATGCTATTTCGGGGCCCTAAACGTTGGAATTCGGCCGAAAAACAGCGTACATCACAAGAGAAGCTAGTGTATATTGATTCTTTGGTCCCTATTTGATCAGGAATGTGTCTTTTTCGGGACAAAGCGGGCTTGTCGAAACTATCCTGAATATTGTGTTAACATGCTCGTTTGGACTTTTGGCGGCCAAACTGACCATAAAGGCTTCGACAATCAATTCTACATCAAAAGGAAACTTTCCTGATTGGGGAATGTAAATATATAAATTATGCTCCATTTATGAATTATGGTATACCAAGCTGAAATTCATTCTGTGCTTTCTATATTTTTAAAATTACTTGATCTTTACATGTTTAGCATAACTTAGATTTGGGTTATGTTCTAAAATGATTTGTCTTAGTCAATTATTTATTTATATTTTTGTCTCTAGTAACTCATGGGAATGGTATGCTGATCCTCGTTTCCTTTGTTCTCTCTTGCTCTTGCTTCTTTCCAATTGGTCAGGCTGAGGCCAGAGATGAATCTGAAGAACCCGAACGACCTGGGGCAATTATTTCTAACCATATATCTTATTTGGATATATTGTATCACATGTCCTCCTCATTTCCAAGTTTTGTTGCAAAGGTGTGTTTAACTCATTTTATCACAAAGTTAGTTGCCAGCGTATGGTTTGCATGTGCGAGAACTTCGTTAAATCTATACTGAAACTTTCTGGGTGTTAGCTCTGACATATTTCTTTTCTAATATGTTCAATTGTACCCCTGGATTTTATTGCTGAAGAGATCAGTGGCTAAACTTCCTCTAGTTGGTCTCATCAGGTTGGTTCACGTCATATTTGTTAATTCTCTTGTGGGTTACTATCGTAATGTGATAAAATAAATTTATGTTTTTTGGTAGGTAAGTTACTCATGCACTTAATTCACCCACCCACTACTGATAAAATAAATTTATTTTTTGAAACTTTACTTCATGATGTATGTTATATATGTACATATACATGTATTTGTACTATTATGTTTTAATGAAAATTGGTCAAGGGGGGCCTTTATTTGTTTTTTATTTTCTGTTTTCCACAGTAAGTGCCTTGGATGTGTTTATGTCCAGCGAGAGTCAAAAGCATCCGACTTCAAGGGAGTTTCTGGTACATGAATCTCTGATGTCTATGCTGTAATTACCTCTGTTCAGAATATTTATGAATGTTTACATTAATTTAAATGTCTTTTCAACATAATTTTTCTACCCATTTTGTTAGGATATTATCTTTCTTTGAGAAGTTGTCATTACAAACTTGCATATGATTATCACTCCAAGAAATAGAAAAATTTATAGTTTTTTATTTTTTAGTCAAGTCTTCATGGTTTTTGTTTACGACTCTATGGAAATGTTAACATCACTGTTCAGCTTTGTTACATGAGCACACTCATGGAACACTGGACTTGGATGCCGGCATGATCTTCAAGATGCAGGATATGAATGTAACTAAGACACATCATTATATATTCTTATGTAACAAGTTTATAAGTTTTTTCTACTCATTTGTAATTGACTAAAGTAATAGTCTTCACATTCTCAATTAATAACTTATATAAAATGGATTAAAAAAATGTGGGTCATGGCCAAGTCTTGGTTCCCTTTAATCGAGGGGGTGCTGGAAGGAATTAAGCTAAAAGCAAAACACACCATCATAAGTGGTTTGGAGCACAAGTCATGCATCTTAAATATATTTGGATTGGATATAACTTTATTTTCCATATATTTTAACCCCCTTCTGCTGCTTGCAGGTGTTGTCAATGAAAGAGTTCGAGAAGCTCATCAGAATAAGTTTGCCCCAATGATGATGCTTTTTCCAGGTTCTCACTTTGATTGCTTGAATTCTTTGGGTGTCTGTGATCCCTGCTTTTGTTTCATGGTGCAATGCTCGTAAGCCGCTTATGTTCTGTTAAGCTGAAACATTGTTGACAAATCCCTAGTATTAATTGATAAGGACATAGTTATATATTTCTGCTAGGAACATATTAGATGTATATTGGAAAAAAATTAGCGAATGGGATTTTATCTTTTATTTAGCAGTACTGCTAAATGAATTTGTCATACGTCATTGGCTTCCTCTGTGGTGCTATATGACACTATCCACCAACCTAGTGCCCTATGTCTCCTTGGCGTGTTCAAAGTCCTATAAAAATTGTTTACGAGTTTAGGTCATAGAAAGAAGCTGTACCCATCTCTTTGGTGTACACTACAATAATTCGACTGGTAAATGCGACTCAGTCGTGAAATGTGGGGTCTTTTTTTATTTGAAGCTGAAGTCACTCCTGATCTTTCTTCGCGAGTCATCTTTGGTTCTGTTTTAATGCAAGTTGCATACCACCTTTGAGCCGCCTTTTTGAAGGCTTCATTCCCACCAACAGTATAGGTTTTTCGGGAGACAAGGGCGCTTGGCCCTTAAAACAATGGATTTGCACTCTCCCACGAGAGATCCTCTGTTTGGTAATGCCTGCCCTTTGCAATGCTTTATCTTTCACTTCCCTTTCATTGGCAATGTCAATACTACTATCTCATTCATATCCTAATTCATATTCATTCTCAGACTAGATTGAGTGTTCAAAGCAAGATTTCAATCAACTACCACTTCAAAATAAAATGCAGAATTGGTCTTGTAATTGCTTCAAGCTCTGAAATATTACAACCATTTTTTGTTTTTTTATTTAATTTTTACTCCCTCCGTCCCAATTTTAAAGTCCATCTTTCCTTTTTGGGCTGTCCCAAAATACTTGTCCCATTTGAAAAGTCAAAGTATTATAAATCCATATTTCCATAAATGCGATTTAAGTGTGGGCACATTGCGCCTGGGGTGAGAGGTTTTATGACACATATGTGGGCACCCCCTAACCATGTAGATGCGTTTTGAAAACCGTGAACACGGAGAGTGTGCAAAGCGGGCAATATCTACAGGGGTTGGGGCGGGTTGTGACAAAAACTGAACCAAACAGGCCCTAGTTTATTCAATTTGGATCATATGGTCTCTTGGTCAGTCACCATCTATATATTGTGGGATTTATAAAGTTTGAAGCAAGATATAGATGTGATCTTTGGTTCAGTCTTTAATCTCTATTTCACAACTTCAATGTGATGCAGAAGCCCACTGAGTGACACCACATACAGACCATGAGACAATGTTTGCTCACTAAATATGGCAACACAATGTATATATAAATATTTTTATTTATTAAGTTTTCAGAATTTGCGAACACTTGACACTCTTTCCTAACAGGATCTTTTAGGTTTTGCAGTCTGGTTTCATTCTTGGTTGGGGTTTAACTAAAAGACATCTGGTTACTCGCCTTTAGGATTTATCATCACCTTCTATGTTACATGGACTCTTAAAAATGCATTTAAGGATACATGTTGGACGCACGACATTGGACATGGGAATGGGATGTGTCAGAGATGTATGCTTTTGTAAGCTGCAACTAGCAAGCATATTCAATAATTTAATTTTATTACATAATTATACATAAATATCTTTTATTTTGTCCCTTTTACTCCCAAAAATAAAATAAGGATATTAAATAATATAAATATTTAGCAATATTATGGTGTCCTTGTGTTCGAGGATTTGGTAAATCCGATGCTTAGACACAAATCTGCACTGGACACATGTATCAAGTCCATGTAACATAGATCATCTTGAAGAAAATATAGTGATGGATGCATCAATACTTTATATTTTAGCAGAAGTGTATATGATTGTAGTTGTAGTTTCTGTTGAAGTAATTTTTTTCATCGTATAGTCCCTCCATTTCATTTTATTTGTTCATCTTTCATCTTTTGGATATCCCATGTTAGATGTCAAGTTGTCAACTATGAAAAGTCAAACCGCATAATGTCGTAACTTTCCTTTGTTTATCCCTTTCTTCTTTGACTTGAGTGGTCACTTGTGCAAATGAAAAAAATAATAATAATGCAAATGATCAGTGGAATATGAGATTCTGAAATCTCATGTTAGTGTGGCACTGCCCTTTGGCTATTATGATCAATATTTTGGTGGGGATTGTCAGGATTATATAACTATGCCCACAATTTTTTTTCCTTTACCCTCAAATTCATCGGTTAGTAGCTATTTATTTGCACATGATCACACATACCTGTTGAGAGGACTGGTTTATAGTTGTTCAAATGATTTTCTATTTTACTGCAGAGGGCACAACTACAAATGGAGATTTCCTCCTCCCATTTAAGACTGGTGCATTTTTGTCAAAAGTTCCGGTGCTTCCTGTGATTTTGAGATATCCATACCAGAGATTCAGTCCTGCCTGGGACTCCATATCTGGGGTGAGTACTACTGTAGCAGTACTACCAAGTTAATCCATGTCATGTTAATTCTTAATCCAAAATTATGTTGGTCACATTATGACTGTTTTTAGGCACAAAGGACATGCTCACACTTTTGTTTTACTTTTAGCAAATTATCAATGTGCGTGGTCCATAATTGTTGTATTGAGTGCTAGATGTAATGTTGAAAAATTCTCAAAGAAAAATTAATTAATATATAAAAGTAAGAACACAAAAAATAATCCATCTTGATAAATGAAATACGTTAGCTGGTACATATACTTACAAAAAGAAAAAGAAAAAGAAAAAGAAAAAGAAAAAGGAAAACATGGTTTAAATGATCAATACAAGTGTTAATGATTCTTTTCCTCGTATTGCTCTTATATGTCATGCTCTTTATGTTCCAACATATTAAGTAGTTCATTCTTTTATAATATACATATAAGCATAGTTGTTCGGTTAATTCGCTTTTTTGTTTCTATAGTTGTGCAGAAATTCAAAATTAGCCATGGGACTTAATTTTTAATTTTCATAGTGAATCATATCATATTAGCCAACCCCATTCATAGGGGATTAAGGCAAGGATGATGATGAATTAATCATATCATATATAGATCTATAAAAGTATAATGAAATTTAGCTATTTTGTTCAGTTTAGGAAACTAATAGTAAAATACATGGATACTAATGAATCTAACATGGAACATGTAGATATTTAAAAAACTTACATAAAAGGGCTAGATCATTGCGGGATCTGAGGAAAGTCGGATGTATTCAGCCTTACCTACACATGAGGAGAGGCTGTTTTTTGTTTTGAACCTGTGACCTCCATGTCACAATGGGAACAACTTTACCGTTGCGTCAAGGCTCACCCTAATTTAACAAACTCACAAATGTACAATAAAAATTAATAATTATGAAAACAAGTGAAAATTACACCTATTTTATTTTATTGAAAAAATCCAAGTATAAAGCACAAGAAACTCGCAGGGAGAGAGATTTAGCTTACGAGGCTTGGGGAAGAAAATATTTCGTATATGAATTTTGAGTGGATAGAAGTGCAGCTGATTTTGTTGGACGAAGTTACCTAGAGGACTTGACTAATTTTGTTGAGTTTTGGATTTTGTATATGCAAGATGGCGGTGTTGTTGAGTCATCTCTCGATATCTATGTGGAAATAAAATTACATATTTCTATTTACCCGTTGCTTTCAGATAAGGCTTGTTTCACTTGTTTCTGAATGAAAAGCAAGAAAATCCTCTACACTGATGTTTTGTTTCTCATGTTGTTATAACCATTTTAGAAAACATGATTTAAACCAAAAAGAATAGGAGAAAATTTGGTTTCCAACTCTCTCAATTATTTAGAATGCATAAAGCAGAAGATGTGTACAACAAGAATATAAAGTAAAAAGATTATGGACGAATCTTTTAATGCTTGCTAATTATTTCTTTTAATGTGCTTCTCTTTTTATGGATGGTCCCAGCCTGGAAACTCACATTATGCATGTGTTCAAAATATACATTATCTGGCACTAAATTTGGGGAACCTGTCAATTTGTCCATGATATTGGATTTTATACTTATAGTTTCAATATATATCTTCATTTGCAGGTGCGCCATGTGATTCTTCTTCTCTGTCAATTTGTAAATCACATTGAGGTTAAGCAGTTACCTGTTTACCACCCCTCACAACAGGAAAAGGATGATCCGAAACTTTATGCTGATAATGTGCGAAAGTTGATGGCTTGCGAGGTACGCATTTCCTTTCAGCTCTTGTTGATGTAAGACATATATAAATGGAATCTCAGATGTAGAATTTCTCTTTGAGAGTTCGACCCTTGACAACTGTTAAAAATTTTAAGATTGAAGAGAGAAATTAAACATGAAGAACACAAAAATATGTGGTTCGGCCACTATGGCCTACATCCACGGCACACAAAGCCCAAGGGGCTCCGTATCTTTTCTTATATACTCTCTTAATATTGTTTACAATGACCACCTCTCTTTATTGGTGAAAGAATATAAACACGTCATAAATTTGCAAAATATATTGATTGAAAGATTCCTTAAATCGATCCCATTTAATCACTCCTATCAATATTATATCAAGGGCTTAAACAGCTCCTATAGTGATATTCTCCAACACTCCCCCTCAGGTTGGTACACTGTCCAACTTTAAACAAAATACGAAGCTGTCCAGAGTCCATGGTTTCAGGTTTGTCACCCATGATATTCGAGACGAGTAGATCCGATCACAAAATTCAAGCAAGACGAGGAGAGTCGAATGAGATCATATAACTGGGAAGATTGGTGCTGGTACAGTAGGGAGAGAGGTTGAGTCTGATACCATGTCAGAAAATATAAGATTGAAGAGAGAAATTAAACATGAAGAACACAAAAGTATAATATGGTTCGGCCACTACAGCCTACATCCATGGCACGCAATATGTGTTAACTAATACTCAAATTTCAGGTTGTGGATCAGATCTCAGGGCATCTTCATAACATGTGTAACTAAATACTCAATTTTCATGCTTTCTAAAGCAGTAGATTATTACTGCCTAAAACATAGTAGCTGAATTCTGGTTCTTAGCTTGTAATGGTTTGAACCAGGCTCAGTTGTTTACTTGTTGGCTCGATCTAATTTTCTCTAACATGGAGTCCTGGTTCACAACACAATACCACTAATTTTCGGGGGTCCTCTCATTCTGAAGCTAAACTATAATGAAACTTTGCCCCATATTCCTAGATTTATGGAGGCAGAAGTCCTTGTACATGAAAGGAATACGAACATGAATCCTATGAAGCTATGGCCTTAAATAGAGGGGAATGGAAACATAGGATTCATGTGACCGACCCCAACTAGTTGGGAAAAAGGCTTGATTGTTGTTATTATAATGAGTTTGTATCTGAATATTGGGCTTTTGCACTTTCTGAAATGCTGCAGTTGAGTTCCATGTTGTGCCAACTCGTTTCATTTGCTGTTTCTTTGCAGGGTAATCTGATATTGTCAGATATTGGTTTGGCAGAGAAACGAATATATCATGCTGCTCTCAATGGTAATAATAGCCTGCCTAGTGTTTTGCATCAGAAAGAGGATTGATAATTTCATGGCCTCGCTCCCTTAAGATATATAGTCCTGGTTGAGTTCTGTAGGCCCTGCTATTTGTGTTTTTTTTTTTTTTTCCCCTTCTGATATAGAGAACAGATGGGTGATTATTGAACTTATTTCCACCCACTAAAACAAACATTGGTGTGCTATTAGACTCTTGTAATTTTCTAATTTATATGAAAAAGGTCCATCAAGGAGTGTTTCAATGTGCTTGTGGATATCTGTTGTCAAAGAATTCTGTTTTAAGAGTTTCATGGATTTTAGTGTTTTATGCTTTCTTAATGTATTTGATTATTTAATGCCCTAGCACCCTTGTCGAAAGAAATATGCACATGTAATCTGAAGTATCTCTTTCGTGTTCCTGCAGGTTTGTTTTGACAACGGTAATTTGGATTCTTCCTCTGTATATTCATTCTATGATTCTATTACGTACAAAGAACTAAAAAATTGTATAGAAAATATGCTCCGAATGAGCATTCTTACTGTCTCATCAGTTGAATATGTATCTATCTGGAATATTGTTGCGGAGCTCAGTGGCACTTTAAAAGCTGGCACTTTCCTGAGGTTTGCACATTTCCTGTTTGGCTTAATAGAGATCCGGAGAGTCAATCTAGTTGGTTAGTGTGTGTTTTGGTTTAATCCAGCAGCTATTGTTGCCTTATAACTTCTGTTGTAATGCTTTGAAGGTCACACTAGTTTAGGGTTGTTGGTCTGTTTTACCTGAACTGGCACCTCACTAATTAATTTCCTTGATAAGGAGCTGTAATTTTGGTTTGCCAATGGCCTTTGTATGTACTATATCAGTGTTTGTTTACCAGCTGCTTCTACCATGTGTATTTAGAGCTCTATGTGGTGGAGCCAAGTCTGAGGAATCAAATATGTCAGTTACTACTTTTAGCTCATTATAATGAACTTGTTATGTGGGAATTTGGATCACCTGTGATGCATACAAACACAGAAAACACTATTTATAACTTGGCTTTTTATCATCCTTGTATGCTTGGAAGTCTTGAATTTGCGTCCAATCCCCATACTGCCATTCCAAATGTGTTAATCAGTTACTTTATTTGGTCTCTTCACTTCTTTTTATTTATTTTTATTGGTTTTTGTGTTTATATTTTTGGTCGTTTGTTGCCCATTCACTCGGCAAATTTAAAAAAAAACTGGAGACGGACGGCAGGATGGGACAATAAAATATTTTACAATGTATTATTATATATTCAGCAAGTCCTCAGAAAGACTGGATAGCCATTGCATAATTTATAAATTTGAAGGCTGCTTCCTGAAACCTGCTCAATTTGCATTTAAACTAATGAACCCAGATGTCCAAATATGGCAAAAACAAATCAATTAATCCATGGTCCTCTTAAAATATTAAGGTGGTTGCTTAGCGAACATATATATATATATATATCTCGCTCTCTCTCTCTCTCTCTCTCTCTCTCTCTTAAGGTGGTATGTTCCAGATTGACTAATGGACATAATATATTTGGAAAATAATTATAGCAGTATGTGAAAATGATTTCATAGCTAGTGGTGGCTCTATAACCTTGTACCACATACCCATGTTCAATATTGCTTGACACCTACAAGATTGATTTTTTCTCATTTAGGGTTTTTCGCACCAGGCACCGACCTACAAAATCTCAGTGAAATGTTGGATTGGCGGTTACCAGTGGTAGAAATGGGTGGTGAACGTCGGTGGTGGTCTTGGTGGTTGTGGGTGAGGGTGACAAGGCTTAGGAGATGAAGTGCAGAGAAAACAAACATGTAGGGGCCACTGGTAGTAGACGCTAATGGAGACTGACCACAGGTGGAGCATTTTATAAAACCAGTAGACACTGTAAAGAAAAAAGAAAGAAAACAGGGTTCATCATATTCAACAGCATCAGAATGAATGGACTGCTTTCAATTGGATCATGCCAAAGCTTACTTGCAAAAAAAGAATAATAAATTTGACAGAATCACAAATGAATTACGTGTCACGGCTGTCGTCTTCCTGTCCCACCCCCTTAATCCACATTTAGAGGAGGTTTAACCACGAAAAAAAAAAAAACAAAGAACCTTCAAAATATCAACAACAGTTTGGTTCAGATCAACCAAAAATTCATCCTTGAGAGCACGAAAGAGAACCGGCTTTTTTTTCCCGTTGGCTTGGGAATAACCTCCTCGATTCCACCAGAATTTGCAACCATAATTCTTTTCCAGAATCTGCAGCTATTTGGTTTTGCCTATAATGATGATGACTACAGTTGAAATTTTTTAGTGTTCTCATCCTTCTACTGCTTATAATTGTGAAGGGCAGCTACATCTGAAAGATTGAAATTGAAATGTTCTATAAGCACAAAGCAAAAGTTTCGCATTCTAGGCTCCAGAGCAATTAAGCCATAGCCATTTCAGACCGGTGACACAATTGTCAGGTCAGTTATTTAATATGCCAAAAACATGCAGAGCATGAACAGGACATGGGTAATTAGACGATTGAGTGGCAGAATGCAACACTTCGAGGATCCTGATAAAACAGCGTATTCTTTTCTTGCGAAGAATCAGTTAGCATCAAAGGATTAAAGACCAGAATATAAGATGACAGCCATCATCCTACGAAAGCAAAAGAAACCTTCCAAACAGTACTTGCTTACAAGATTTCAAAGGACAAGGATTTCTGTAGTCATCATCTTACCTTTCCTGAACCTTCTCAATTCCCATGATGGTAAGCAGCCTTTTAATGGAGACTGTAGAAACAACGACGATGTTGACAACTGTCTTTGCCTCATTGAGATCGAAGACAAGCAACTGAAGGAACCTCTTAGCCTTCTCTTCTCGCTGTCATATGGATGGTAACTGGGATCATGTCGCACAGAAGAAATTTTAAGGGATTCAGGCAGCACACAGCTGAAGACTGAACCTGAAAGGAAAATAAAAAAGAATGAAGCAAGTTATGTATATATATCAGTAATTTAGATGGCAAGGTCATAGATCACAATGGTGACTTGTGCTTTGATCGATCCAAATCCAACCTAGGAGATCGATCATCTCATTAATTCTATTCTCTAATCATACTTGAGACAGAAATGCCTAGCTAGAGAAAATTGCAGGTCCTCATATTCACAAAGTTCTCTACCAAGCACACAGTGAAGATGGTACAATTCTGTTAAATAATGTGCCCCCAACAAAATGACCTTCCATCCACATTTTCTCATACATCCCATCATCCAAACAACCCATAGAAAGAATAAGAAGAAAGGAAAACCTGGAGAAGGGGGTCTGGTAGAACGTAAACATACTATTAGGAGAGGTGGGAAATATCTCCGAAGTGACAAATAAAGACCACTACCTTGTCCTGGTTTGGCCGATAGAGGATGTTGGGAGGGTAAGCCCGAAACAAAACGGATCTTTGGCACCATTTTGCATAAATTGGCTGCTCTTAAACTTGAACCTGTCCCCATATGCTTCTTAGCTCAAGATTGTACCATTGCACCAAGCAATGGCCCTATGTCCCAGGTGATGCAGCAACAATAAAAATCCAGAAACAATATTTTGTGCGCGTCCTATATTTCTTCAATGTGTTTGAAAGAAGTAAGTTTGTGCAAATAGTGCCAAATATTTGGTTTATATCCAGCCTCTCTCTATCGGAACCCCACATTGGCGGGACAAAGATTCGGTAATTGTCCTTTCTTTTCTCAATGTTACAATTGTTTCCATATTTGACACAAATGGACATCAGAGGCAGCTTTATGGATGCCAATTTGCTTTTCATTTATCAAATAGAAGCCTCGCATTCAGCAAGAGGAGAACAATGACATGAAAACACACACACACACAAGGGCTTCTCAAATAAAAGCCTTCTAAAAATTAACCAAGTTTTTATTTTTTATGTTTAGAAGTTGAATGAGGTTGTAATGAAATAAATAAAAAACACTATGATTTAGCAACTTAGGCAATTTGATTTCCATTCATCACCAAGCATTAACTTGAGCAGAATTTTCATTACCTCCTGAAAATGAGGCTGAGGATTCAAGTCCCAGTTAGACAAGATGGGTGTGGCGTGTGTGTGTCTTACCTATCAGAAGGGTAAAAAAAAAAAAGTTTTTCATTCTCAAGTACAATGAAAGAGTGCAAACTGTGGATGTGATAGGTTGCAGAACAGCCATGGGAACCCACATGCACAAATGCTCAAATGCAATTGTTAAAACTCAGAAGAAATTTTTGCATGTCCAATGAAAACTTATTCTTCTCCAAGTGGCATTTGGTATGATGAGGAAAGACTACCTATTTTTGCCAGGCGATTTACCCATTTTGGAATTCGCTTCCCAGTCAGCTTGTAGCAAATGTCATTACAGAAATGGTTGCAGTTCTTGACAATCAAGTGATATGTGTCACCATAGTAGTTTGCACAGTGGGTCTCCATGAATTCCCTAACCTGTAAAGGGTCCAAGCATGTAGTCCCAATGAGTATTGACTTTTTAAACTTGTAGCCTGGGCATTGTTTGGGTTCAACCTCAAAGACACCACTAGATGGATAATCATGAGCTCCAAATGCATATTCTACACCATGAACTGCAAAGAGTATGTAGGGTCAATCAAAGATCATTTATTTCATTTTAAATTTAGGAGCAGTATAATATACTAAAAAATTTAATAACAACGTATATTTGTTTCCACAACAGAATCTACTGATCTGCAAATAAATGCAAAAGATATCCCTCCAGTTCACATAATTTTCTTATCTAAGTGCAGCAAAGAGAACAAGGTATCATGTTTCTTGATTTCTGGATAAATTATCGTTTCATGCTCATCTTTTTAACAAGACCTGAGGACGACGACGATAACAACAACAACAATAATAGGGAAGACACGACAATAAAAGATGGAAATCAAAAGCATGGGCTCCTGCTATGGAAGAAACTGCTATTGCAAATTTCCAAGTTCTTCACTCCAAATATTTGCCTGCCTATCAAGCCATCAACAAACGTCAACTTACAACATATATCAAACATATGATGTGTCAACTACCATCGACTCCAAAAGCTTACGCTTTTAGAGAGTGTGTAGCTTAAATACATAAATCCTTCAACATGCCCCCTCACGTGTGGCCTTCTTTTGGTCCAACACGAGTTTTTCAATATTTTAATTAGGGTGACGGTGAGGTTTGAACTCGAGACATTTGGCTCTGCTACCATGTTAACTACCATTTACACCAAAAGCTTAAGCTTTTAGAGAGGGTGTAACTTAAATATATAAATCCTTCAACATGATGCAAGTTCAAATTGCATCCATATGCATGTGTGAGTAAGAAGCCAATCTACAACTTGCACCAACACTTGGAGCCAAAACAATCTAAGACCCTAAATATAGAGCAATTCTGTCAAGGACCCTAGTTCAAAGCTCAAGGTGTTGATCCTTCGACCTGTTAAACTGTTAGAATGTTTATATCCTCCATAATATTGGGTCCTTATATAATTACCCATAGTAGTTAGGCTTATTGTGTAATTAAGCAATATTGTGTAATTAAGGTGTATAACCCTTGTTCTTTATATAAGCCTTACAAGAGAAGGCTGAAGACAATACACAGAATATACATTACTCTCTCTCTCTCTCTCTCTCTATCTCTCATGAATCTGAACATGGTATAAAAGCAATATAGATTCATGGGTGTGGGAAACGACAAGTGTGTTGCCCTTGTATGAGATTGGACTCGCGATTGGAATCGCGAGTGTGTTGTTGGTGTCTTTGCCGGAAGTTCTTGTCACCGGTATGCTGAGAAGATCACTCGTAGTCGTCATCGTCCTTTGTCGCCGTCAGATCTAAAGCCCGTAGTCGTCGTTGTCAGATCTGCAGCCTCCTTCGTCGCCGTCAGATCTGAAGCCCCTTGGCTGCTTGTGTTGTTGCCATGTTGATCGTCAGCAAGCTCGCCGACATCCACCGTCGTTGTTTGCAGAGGTGAGGCTTCATCGATTCGTCCTTTTTCTTGGTTGGAAGTTGTGGAGGTTCTGATTCGGTGTGGTGTCGCCGCTGTGTGCTTGCCGGAGTCTGTTGGTGGTTGTGAAGAAGAACAGCCTTGTTTGGCTACGCGGCAGATCCGACCCTTGACCTGGTTCTGATCCAACCCGGTTGCCCAGATCCGACCCATTTGCAGATCCAACCCGGTTACCGATTCTGCAATTTTTTTTTTCCCAGGTTCGTCTGTGTTTTTTTTACCTTCTCCATGGCTTCCAGTTCAGACCTGTTATCTTCTAGTTCCTTCAATCCTCCCATGACTTCAGTCAAGTTTAATGGAAAAAATTACATCTTATGGGCCAAGTCAGTAGCCATTTTCCTGAAAGCCAAAGGCTTTGGTGCTCATTTGGTTCAGCATAAACCCAAAAGCAGTGATACTGATTTCAGTTCATGGGAACAAAGGGATGCTCAAATCATCTCCTTAATGCTGAATTGTATTGAATCTCATATTAGCTCCAACTTGTTATATCTGGACACTGCCAAGGAGATATGGACCCGACTCCAACAGTTATATTCCGATGCTGGTAATATAACCAGAATTTATGAAGTGTGTAGACAATTTTTTGATCTCCAGCAAGGGACTCACAGTTTAGAGGAATACCTCTCACGGGCAATGGGACTTTGTGAAGAAATGAATATGTATCAACCCATCACCTCTGATGTGAAAAGCATGCAGTAGCAGCGTGAGGATTTTAATGTTGTTCAGGTTCTCACAAGATTGTCACAAGAGTATGAACCTATTTGTGCACAGATTTTGGGGAGCCTTGCACTTCCCTCTCTACCTGATATGTTATCTAGACTCCAGCGTGCCACTTTATCTAGTGGCGCTTCAGGAGGGGCTTCCAATGGTGTCACTGCTCCTCCTAGCAGTGAACGATCTGCCTTAGTTGTGAACCAGGGTGGCTTTCAGTCTTCTCGTGGTGGTGGTGGTCATTTTACTCGTGGCCGTGGTCGAGGCAGAGGCCGAGACTCAAAACTTTGCACTCACTGCGGTCTTACTAATCACACTGTCAATTATTGTTGGGATCTTCATGGGAAACCACCACCTTCTTCCTATGCACATCAAGTGACTTCTAATGATAGGGATTCTTCTCTCTCTGCCACACCCACTGCTCCACATGTGGCTGTTGAGACTGCTATGGTCACGATTCCCCGCGATGAGTATGCTCAGTTTCTGTCTCAGCAACGGTCTTCCGCCTCATCTTCCATGGGGTCCTTGGCCCAATCAAGTAGTGCCCCTGCATGTCTTTTGTCCTCTAGTCAGAGTCCCTAGATTCTTGACTCTGGCGCATCCGATCACATGACTGGTAGTTCTCATCTCTTATCTGATTTTCAGTCTGTTCCTTCCTCTCAAAATGTTACTTTTGCTAATGGATCATCAACTAAAGTTTTGGGTTTGGGAACTATTCATCTTACCTCTTCTATGTCCCTTTCCTGTGTTATATGTTCCTCAATTCCCTTTTAATTTGTTGTCCATTAGCAAAATTACTAAATCTCTTCACTGTTCTGTTACATTTTATCCCACATGTTGTCTTTTTCAGGATCTCAAGACGAAGAAGAGGATTGGTATGGGACATGAAGTAGGTGGCTTGTATTACTTCGATCTTGCACCATCTCCCACAGCTCTTCAATCATCTTTGTCTTCTTTCCAGTGGCACTGTCGTCTCGGCCACCCATCACTATTAGTTCTGCAGTGTCAAGTCCCCGGTCTTAGTCGTATTGAGTCCATGTCTTGCGAAACATGTCAGCTTAGTAAGCATTGTAGTGTATCTTTCAAGCCAAGGGCTAATAATCGTGTTGCTAGTCCTTTTCAATTAGTTCATTCAGATGTATGGGGACCAATAAAACATATTTCTATTAATAGATTTCGTTATTTTGTGACCTTTGTGGATGATCATTCTCGGATGACTTGGTTGTTTTTAATGAAAAATCGTTCTGAGTTGTTTTCTATTTTCAAAATATTTCGCAAAGAAATAAAAACTCAATTTGGGTGTTCCATTAAAATTTTACGTTCTGACAATGCCAAAGAATATTTCTCGGACCCATTCAAGACTTATTTTCATGCTAAAGGCATCATTCATCAATCCTCTTGTACTTATACTCCGCAACAAAATGGAGTAGCTGAACGTAAAAATCGTCATCTTCTGGAAGTCTGTCATGCCCTTTTATTTCATATGCATGTTCCCAAACGATTTTGGAGTGATGCCGTTCTTACGGCATGTCATCTTTTTAATCGAATGCCCTCATCCATGTTAAAAGGTAAATCTCCTCATTCTGTTTTATTTCCCGACTCCGTATCATTTAATTTGACTCCGCGAGTCTTTGGTTGTGTGTGTTATGTCCATAACCTTGGACCAGGTCTTGATAAACTCGACCTTCATGCTACTAAGTGTGTTTTTCTTGGGTATTCTCGCACTCAGAAGGGCTATCGTTGTTACAGTCCTCATTTTCAACGCTATTTCACTAGTGCTGATGTAACATTTTCTGAGTCTCTCCCATATTTTTCTGATTCTACTACTCCTCTCGATATTACTTCTGAGCCACCTATGCCAATGGTTCCATCTCAGTTTCCTACTTCCGCACCTCCTCGCTCTATTGTCCCTTTGCAGGTTTATACTTGACGACCTCGACCGCCTACTTCGCTCCCTCCATCTCCTTCGGAGTCTTCGGATCCGACGCCTTTACCTGATGATTTGCCTATTGCTCTCCGTAAAGGTATTCGGTCGTGTGTTATTGCACATCCCATTTCTAACTTTGTCTCCTACCGTCATATTTCATCATCTTTATCTTGTTTTTTATCCAAAGTATCTGCTACTTTTGTTCCCAAGACTTTGCAGGATGTTCTCTCTGATTTGGGTTGGCGACAAGCCATGGTGGATGAAATGGATGCCCTTCACCGTAATGGAACATGGGATCTTGTTCCCTTACCTCCGGGCTCCAAAACGGTTGGTTGTAAGTGGGTCTACACAATTAAATACCTTCACGATGGGTCTATTAAGCGGTTGAAGGCTCGTCTAGTGGCAAAGGGGTACACTCAGACTTATGGTGTTGATTATGATGAGACTTTTTCCCCTGTTGCTAAGATTTCTTCTATTCGGGTTCTAATTTCCATTGCTGTCAATTGTGACGGGCCGTTGTTTCAATTAGATGTCAAAAATGCCTTCTTACATGGTGACCTGGTTGAAGAGGTTTATATGGAGCAACCACCTAGGTTCGTTGCTCAGGGGGAGTATCGTCACACTGTTTGTCGCCTTAAAAAGGCCCTGTATGGATTGAAACAATCTCCATGGGCTTGGTTTGGAAAATTCTCCTAGGCAGCATTAAACTTTGGTCTTAACAGATGCCAGACAGATCATTCGGTATTTCACCTGCGCACTAAAGCTGGCTTCATTTTTCTTGTGGTGTATGTAGATGATATTGTAAGCACAAGTGATGATTCTGCAGGCATTGCTAAGTTGAAGTTGTTTCTGCAAAATCGATTCCACACTAAAAACTTGGGTAAACTTAGGTACTTCTTGGGTATTGAAGTTGCTAGATCCAAGGAAGGTATAAGTTTATCT